TATCTATCTATATATATAAATAAATAAAACTAATGTAAATGGAAAACATATTCCAAAATTATGATTCTATAAACAACATTTTGTATTGCACTTGTAGTCTGTACGACTAAATAAAGGATTTTAATAGATCTTTTCTCTTCTCCTTTTCTCACTTTTGCCTAAAAAAACATTAATTTTTGGTGACTAATCTCTATACTGTATATTTTAATTACAGTACAAAACAAAGACAAAGACTCCACTGCCATGTTAGCAGCTCGATTGCTCATTTTAAAGAACACCAAGTGGTGTTTGATCTGGTAGCGGTTGCTAACATGCTCATAATGTTTGCTATGTTTACCCTGTGCAGTATCTTAGTGTTATTATGCTAACATGCACATTTTTACTGAAAACAAAGCACAGCTGAGGCTGATGGGAATGTCGTTCATTTCGAACGGATCTGACACAAATCAAACCACAAAGTCAAACTTTAACCTGCTGGTGGCGCTACATAAAAAGTCAGGGGATCATAAATGCTAACATCAGCATGTTAGCGTGCTGATGTTAGCATTTATGGTATAACGTTTGACATGTTCACATTCTTAGTTTAGCACGTTAGTATGCTAACATTAGCTAATTGCACAAATTTGTACATTTGTTGAGATATTTCAGTAAAAACCCAAAAGTGTCAACCTGCTGGTGTTTTACTTTCCTCTGGGAACCTTTTAACATCCATACAAAATAATTTACCAGAGGCAAAAATAGATTGTTTTAATCTGACCACTGAAAAACCCCAAAGGTATTCAACGAACAGTATAAAACTGAGTAAAGTAAGTTTTTCAATTTAAGAAATTGTGTCATGAAAATGTTTTTTACTCAAATATCAAAATTGTCATAGATGAACTTTCTCTAGATTAAATAATCAATTAATAATCAGACTTTCAACCGCGACTCCACATAAATTGAGAAGAATCCATAAAAAAAACTTTGTAGTCCCACTACAAAGATAAAATCCATCAATCATGTTGCTCACAGTGTGAATTATTTTTTAAAACACTAAAAATAATATTTCTTCATCAAGATCATCATGTTTTCACCAAACATCTGAATTTAACTTCTAAGTCTGAGGGACTCCCAACCAGTCAGATCATTGCTGTCATTAAAACATGTTTAACAGCCACTAAAAGCAAAAATAACCCATCATATTACTCAACTAGGCAGTCTGTCATCGCTGGCTGTCTCAGAAATTGTCTCCTTCAATTGCACACAAGAATAGTATTTTGACAAAGGCATCGGTTTAGGCATTCAAACATCTTGGCACTGAGAAATGACCTGTGGAAAACAAAAAAGAAGAAAAAAAATATGGAGAGCTTGATATATATATATATATTTTTTTTTCTTTCGTTTTTTGAGAGTACATTCGTCATCCTTCCATGAGAGGAATTATGTAACTAATACAGTATGGTGCTCATGAGGGTCGGGGAGTGGGAAGAAGCAGCTTTAGAGAGGAGAAGAAACATATTCAGTCTGGTAAACTAATGCAACAACTACCAGAGCAGGCAGTGGAGGGCCCCGAGTGCCAGGGAAGGAGGGAGGGGCGGGGGAAAGAAAATGACCGAGTAACAAAGGCATCCCTAACACACTGTCAAACTCGCCCTCCCCGCCGTACGCCACCCACGCTTTGTGGTTAAATCCCTTCCTTTCAGAGCCGATCCACAGTAGTCCGCTAATAAGCTCTTGGCACTTTTTGGACTTGATAAACGTTTGAACGAAATGACTTTGAAAACGGTCGTTTTCATCGTTTTTTTTCCTCCGTCTTACTTCACTGCGCCGTGCTCTTGGTCCGCAGAGCTCCAATCACACTTTGGATGTTTTCTTCGGGAACCTGCAGAACACACAAGGTTTTATAACCCTCTGAAAGCAGCATTAACGATTATTTTTTATCAGTGATTAATCGTAAAAAAATAACGTCTACAAATTTCTTGTTTTTGTCTTGAGTCCGAAATACAAAATTATACATATATTATAAGTTGACCAATAAAAAAAAATCAACAAAAAAAAAAAACAAAATTCTCACAATTAAGAACCTGGAACCATCAAATGTTTAGCATTTCTGCTTGAAAATGGTTGGTTATCAAAATAGTCATTAACTAATCGATTAATGCAGAACTGAAAACAAAAACTGTTCTAGCTCTACAGCACATACATTATTTCAGGGGTCTGCAACCCTTTTGAAATGTCTAAGTTTAATTATGACAACACTTAATCTGTAACTTTTCATCCATATAGGCGACATACGTAGCAATTTTTTCCCTTATATTAAGGACATTGCAATTATATACGATAGCACTGTAAGAGGGCTGCCAAATATACACAGTTAAAATCATATACACAGCCATGAGATGCTTTAATAAAGACACAACTGCCAATGGCTGTGATGATGATGAGAGAGCGCTTACAAACGCATTGCTAGTGTGCCATTGGTTTTGGTGCAGTGTTTAATCAAAATGAAAAGCACTGCGAGGTTTCTGTCTTACCAGGGCGTGGTCAAACTTGAAGGTACTAATGTAGTAAGCTGGAATGTCAGCCGTTGCCAGGGGTTCTGATATTTGAGCCACGATGCCGCACTCATCTGCAAAACATTATTTCCAAACGTTTGTACATCATCACTTGAATGTGCACTGAGGCTTTACAGCAGTGATTCCCAACAGCCTGATCGAATTGGACATTATTACAATAGTAAAAGTCATCTTGGAATAGATCGTGGGTGTGGTATCTTTTGAGCGACGCTCAGTTTATAAAAGCTGATGTCACATACTTCTATGAACCAATCAGGATTTAGGGATATTTAAATTAAAATATGATGATAGTTGGGGGCTTGTTTGTTTATGTTACCTAGATAATTTGAGATGTAACACTCATAAATGTACAGTATGTAATTTCAGCGACGTGGGAGGCGCTCACATCAAAACAATAACACAAGATAACATTGTGAAGTAGCGTGGGATCATGGGAGTTTTCTTCTTTGTTAAACAACCACCATTGCTAATGGAAAATCTATCTGACGGCTGAAATCATGTTCACAGAGAGATAATGTATTAAAGTTTTATTCATGTGTTCTTTCCTCACTCTCTCTGTTACAGTAACTTGAAGCGAACAAAGGTTACTAAAATTATGGATTTCTCTGCATTTGAACGTTGTTGGAAATAGTTGGGATAATGTAAGTATGGATCTTGAGAAAATATATAATAATGTTTTCTTTTTTTATTGATTTAATGTTGTAAAAAAATGACTTTAAATGACCAGTGTGTTGGATTTAGTGGCATCTAGTGGTGAAGCTGCAAATTGCAGCCAATTGAATACTGCTCGCTTTCCAAGTATTTAGGAGAAACTACGCTGACAAACACGCAAAAGGCCTCTCTGTTGGTTTTCAAATCTGAGAGTATTTTACTTTGACCAAATCATTTCTGCTTGCTCAAACTAGATGAGCTACTCTACAATCTTTCCACGTACCCCCTGAAGCACAAGCACCCCTGGTTGGGAATCACTGCAGTACAAGATCCAACACAGGAACAACACTTGTTAAACAAATACAAGCTCTGACATTACATGCTGTGAACATAAATAATGTGACATTTAAGATAATCCACCACAAAATCTTTTATGTGACATTTGCACAAACTGAAAATGTCATTTTAACAAGGTAAAACAATTAAAAGTCACTTCCTACAGAAAGTTATACTCATGAATTGGCACAGAGCTTTGTCGCAAACTGTCAAAAACGATTATTGGCTACAACATGAAATTATACAGTATTTTTCTGTATATATTTACTGTATTAGCTTGCTTGAATCAGACAGGCTGGCAGCGCCAATCAACACCAGCTGAACAGATTAGTCGCCAGATGCTTTCAGATTCAACACATCAGCTCTGATCCTGACAGATGAAAAAAGTTGTTTAATTTGTTGCTGTTGAGAGATGAAGTCACTGCAAGGTGAGAAATTCTCTAAAAGTAGGTTGGTAAGTTGGATATCAGAGTTAGATGCTCAGTTTGTGAGACTGGGCTGCAGCATCTGTGCATCAATAATATGAGTATATTTGTTATACTGATACTCGCATGCACTGTGTTTGGAAATGGGCTCACCTCTGATACTGTAACTGTTAATTTTGCCATCATGTGACCTGGTAGTAGCCATGCCAAACTAGTCTTTTTGCCACATGAAACTCACCAAATCCTAAAGGTTGTCCTCCAATACGAACCATTTTCCAAAGCTCACCAGAAGCACTCGTGAAGAGGACATTGTTTGGAAACCTTGAAGAGAACAAAGTACAAATAAATTAAAGATTCATTCAATATAATATACTATAAACTGAAGTCACAAGCACTTAAATGATCAGTTTTTGCTGTCAAAAATCATATCAAAGAGATTTTTAAATTGATTGTTACTATTAGAAATGCTCCTTTAGCCTATAAACCTCTGACTGGGCTTACCAGGTATATATGTTTGTTGAATCGGCAGTGACACTGAGACACAATGCTAAACAACCTGTGATGCTAACTCTAAAGATCATTCACAACCTTTTTAAACAGTTTGTGACAACATGTAGACCTGGCTCAAGGTTAACCAGAGCTTCCACTAAACATGGCCTGTGTTCAATTTCAGTCTACAACATTTGAACAAAACTGCAGTTAAGGCAGCTCAGATGTGGGATTCTTTACCCATGAGTATCAGAGAGTGCAGTGACTCCTAAATACTCTTTTAAACATTTAAAATGCAGTGTCAAAACATTGTTGAAGGACAATCAGGTTTATAGTCATTGAGCTGTGAGACACTGAATGTGGCCAGCGTTGGTACTGCGTCTTGGGTTGGTAATTTCTTCTACTGATGAAATGTATATCTCTGTGTTGAGAATGCTGATGTTGTGCTCCCGAGTGGGAATTTAGTATTACTTTGCTGTGGTTTGTTTCGGGATGATTGTCATCCTTGGGTTTTGTACTTTTATTACTGATCTTTTATCTTTGTAACCAGCACACTAGTGACCTCCACCCAGAGACTACAGATGGAAATCAGCATACATGTATTATATGCATTAACCCTGCTAAATAAAAGCTAAGATTTGTCATTGGTAGTACTGCAGAATAACCATTTGGCATCTAAACTGACTGGTTTTGCCATCTGCAGGTTAGGTTTTTAAGCCTTACAATGTGCTACAGCTGACTAGCTAATTAGCCTTTCAGCCTGAAAACGGACATTAGCACTGCATTTGTCCCTGGTGGATGTTTGTACAAAAACAGTTGGTTTCATTGGAAATATGCTCAGAATTTCTCTGTATGTATGGCTAGATAACCCTGGCATTCTGACTAATTAATGCATAGACAGGGGGCGCTATTATGCAATCAAAAATATACATTTCTCCTTTTTTTGTTAAGGAGAACACAGGAAATGTGATTAAACAGATCTGAACTGTGATAAAAAGCATGCCATTTAATTTAAGTTGGACTTTGATGATGATGTTTCTCACAGTCAAATGGATTGCAAGTATTGCCTCACTCTTCTTTCAAAGCACTTCTTTGTTTTGCTCTAGTTAACAAATGGCAGACACCTGGCGCAGGTAACAGATACTATGTGGAGCTGCAGCAGGCGAAGCTAACTATTAACCATTTAGATTAACATCAGCAGGTGAATTCTGATTCTACTGTTCAGCCCGCTGAATAAGAGAGCCACTATAAAGTAGAGCAAAATGGGTGACCTATTCCTTTAAGGCAGCACATTACATAAACATGGGGACAAAGCTGACCTACATGCTGCAGTAGCAAAATATGAACTTTAAAAACACAATGAAAGTTCGGTCCAATTAATATTTTACCTCCACATGGCTTAAAGACATTACTGCCCCATATAAGGGATACCTCATTTCTGAATGGACAATCTGATGCTAATCTGGTGGTAATAGAAGGGATCTGCAGCTGCTTAGGTTTCTTTATGGCCTTTCTGTTTAATTAGAGAGGATACTGTGAGAAAGAGGGGGACGCAGCGGAGAGTGAATGAGTCAGACTGAAACCCACTGTGACTTAAGCACATTGTATATACCCAACTGCTGTGCTATTGCTTAGCAACAAACTAATCACCCCCTCCACCAACAATCATAAATTTGTTTCCCCTGCATAAACATACTGTTTCTGAAAGGTCTTGACTGAAAGAAAACAACATCCTGAAAGAACAAGTGTGGTTAATTACACAGCAGCAATATAAATATGTTGTGTCACGAAGGCTTTCTTCTGCTCAACCTTTGAGTTGTCTGCTCGTCCATGACCAGAGAGATGTAGCCCTCGATCAGGGAGAAGGAGAAGAAGCGGATGTGGCTGGAGTCCTCGTTCGATGCTCCAGGCTCCTTTGGCCTGAAACACAAGGCACAACACTCAGTGTGGTACTGATACCGTGGCTCCAACCCTGGCTCCGACCCTGGCTCCAACCCTGGCTCCAAATGATGTTCACTAGCACAGGAAGATGGCTGCGGCTGTATCCGGGACATTTTAGCTCTTGTACAGTAGGGGGAAGTGGAGGCGCTTTGTCCGTCCCTATTAGGGATTTCAGTCTATATGATAACCTGCTAAATGACCTGCTTTTACTGGCTGATACCGATAAGATAACCGATAATTATACATTTTTGTATCTTAAAAATAAGTTTAGAACCGGTAGTTTTTACACAATTGATTGTAATAAAGGCTGAGATATAGTGAGCAAAGATTACTGATTATTAATTTAATATTCCACATCATACTGACAACAGTATTGTTTACAGCAGTTCTGACTCTTCAAATGTTTATTTATTTTTTTCAAAGCATATCAATCATTTTGCATAAGAATTTAAAATAAATTAATAATATTATCAACCAATAATTTATCAGCTGTAATTTAAGGATCCCGATAGTTCATTATGATATAAATTTACCATTATTGGCCGATAATTGATCTGTCCCGATCATCATTGTGCATCACTAATCCTTTTATAACAGCTGGTACAATGTTAACCATTGTCACCATCACCATCTTATTTGAGCATGGTAGCATTTGCTAATTAGAACTTAACACCAAGCAGAGCAGAGGCTGATGGGAATGTCATTAGCTTTGCTGGTGTTTGACCTGCTGAGGTCAAGGGATCACCAAAGTCAATTCATCCACATGAATGTCCGAACTAAATGTAAATCCATCCTATAGTTGTTAAAAAGTCAATAGGATTCATCACCATGGAGACCGTTAATGAACGTACAGCTTTCATGGTTATCCCTCCCATATTCTACATGTTTCTGTGTTGTCTCTCTGGGCCGGAGCAGTCGACCACTGCTACTCTCAGAGTACCACTGCTAGCATGGCTAAAAAGGACTTAACTCAAATAATGTCATTACAAATACTGCTACACGACATCTTTACAACGAGGTTATTTGGTACTGTAGATAAGCTCTTCGACACATTAGTACAACCCTCATTAGATGCTGTCCATGTCTCCTCATTTTAATACGGAATCTTTTCACTTTGAGCTCAGAGTTGTTTTGAAAGCTGCTCACACATTCCAAACAACACAAAACAGAAAAGGCCTTTGTCAGTATCCGTATTTCAAACAAGACGTGCTGATTCTTACCCTCCAGAGTAAAACATGACATCCATGAGCAGGGTGGCTACAGAGGGCAGTGTGTCTGGGTCCAGGCTGGTCACACAGAACATGTTGCTGGGACTAGATAAGGGGTGAATGATTGGACGGGGCACTGAAAAAGAAAAATACATGAGTTTATAAGCAGCAGTATAGCAGAGAGCGATCTTAATATAAGGTCTATATGGAAATAATGAGCATTCAGTCTCATCATATTTGACATTGCTATGTCAAATAAAAACCAACACGTAGGAGAAAAAGCTCTAAAAATGGAAAGTTTAAACCTCTGCAACAACTGAGCAAACTCCATCTGCTAACGAAGCTCCAGAACAAGGTTATATTGACCTCGAGTTGAGGCCAATGTGGTGAATACCTTTTCAGACTTTTATTTTAAACATAGTGTTAGTTTTAAAAAATAAAATTGGAAATGTACACTTAAATAAGCAGTTCTTTATGTGCCAGTCCACTTTCACTTGAAGTAATTACAACAAAATCCTGAATACATTTGCGTTTCTTTGTTTTGCACACGAAAATGTACAAAGCAATGCTGATTAGTTTTATAGCTCCACTAATACTGTATTATGACTGATATTTATCTATCAGAAGTTATTTCCTATCTATATTGATTATATTATTATATATTATTATTGTACTTATTATTGTTGGAGGTGATTGAGGTACTTGTTCGGTTACTTAAGTATCTCCACTGTATAGCGTGGTTACAACTTTAACTCCCACCTGTAACATTAAAGTAACACTTTCAGATAATGCATCACTATTTATAAGGGTCTTAATAATTTAAATGTGCAACACTTTGACATTAACACCGCAATTATACTGTATACAGAACATGATACACATATTTTTACATACTTCCTATTCTCTCTCTCTCTATATATATA